CCATGGGCCAGTGTTTGGAGGTGAGCGGGAAGTGAAGTATTGCATTTTATGTCTCTTTTCTGAACATGATTATACTTTTGCCTTTAATGATATCCTAAGGGGCCTATGAAAGAGGCCAACAGATTCTCTTGGGCACCTACACTGGCTGATCAGCCCAAGCTCACGCTCTTCTAAGGAACAGCCCCACCTACTCAAGTATAAGAGATGGTGTTATCCCAAAGAAGAATAATCTCCAACCCACAGGAAGCTATTACATGTATATTTTAATATATGTGTATATGCATTACACCTATGAGTACTTTGAAATCTTTTATAACTCATATTTTGTAAAAACTTAAGACACAAAATTATTCATAGACAAGCAATGATATGGATCCAAAAGGGGACATGCTCTAAAGTATAGATTAATGAACTAGCGGAAATTTTACTAACAGCAATTTGAAGATTTTGAGAAATACATAATGTCCTAGGGAGATAATAAAATTTACTGGAGGAAACTTTTAAAACTGAAAGCACTTTATTATAATAATTACAGAAATGGAAATAATATTGTTAAAGTCCCACACAAAATACCAGGCTCAAATGATTTCATAGACAAGTTTTAAAAAATCTTTAAGGAAGCGATCATTCTAACTTATCAAAAACTCTTCCTGAGAAAAGAAAAAAAGGAAATACTTCCCAACTCATTTTATAAAGATACTTCATAACTCCAGTACCAAAACCAGACAATGACATAATGATGAAGGAGAAAAGACAGGGCCCATTTCAGTTATGAATATAGAAGTGAAAAATCATACATAGAAGGTTGCATTAACACATTAAGTTCTACAGGGTATAAAAATGGTAATAAACTATGACAAAGTCGGGTTTAATGAAAAGTTGGTTTAATCTCAGAAAATCTATAAATGTAATTCACTACACTGCCATATTAAAAGAGAAAACACATATATCACTTCAATGTATGTAGATCAAACATTTAAAGAATATAAGTTCATTTTTGAAGAAATAAATTTTTCAGTGAGTTAGGAATAGAAGGGCATTTGTGTAGCATGAAAGAAAGCACATGTAAAAAATTAAGCAAATGTAGTCCTAAGTGGGGAAACACTGGAATATCACCATTTAAAAATCTTGAATGAGGCAAGAATGCATAGGATTACCTCTTCTTTCATCCTTGTTGTAGATGTTCTTGCCAATACATTAACTTAAAAAAAACCCAGTAATTCAGAGAAGGATCAGAAAGAAAAAAATAAAATTATCACTATCTGCAGTTGATATGATCATTTGCAAAGAAAACCTAAAAGATTCTACAAATACTCAGAAATAATAGGAGAATTTAACAAGGTAGAAGAATTCAAAAGAAGATTAATATAAAACAATAAACTGTATTTTCATACACAGCAACAAAAATAATTAAAAAGATGATCCTATTTGCCATAGAATTAGAGGACATCAGTTACCTAGGAATAAATCTAACAAAAGATGAATTAAAACCACTACAGAGAAAAATCATAAACTTTAAAGAAGACCCAAACAATGGAGGGCTCTGCCAAGTTTACATTAAGCTACAGAGAAATTTCGATCAAAACCCCAAAGGCCGTTTTATGGAAGATACGATAAACAGATTCTAATGGATTTGGAAGAGTGAAAAGCCATGAAGATTCAGGTCCCACTTTTCTGAAGAAAATTAGTCTTCACTTGCCCTACCTACATCAGGACCCTTTGAAGCTACAGTAAATACGGCAACAGTTAGGCACTGGGATACCTGTGGTGACCAGTGGAGAGAGCCCCAGAACGCATACAGGCCCACATATGCACGGAATGTTGGCATCTGACAGAAATGCATTTCAGTTGAGCAGGGAAAGGAGATAGCGCTCAGTGAACTGAGCTGGCTAAGTGGCTATTGTGAAAAATATATGAAACTGGATTAATGCCAGTTTTTTACCCTGAGTCTCTCAGTCCCAAGCCCATGCTTCTATACTCCTCTCTACAATGCCACATATAATGCGTGTTTGCTCTAGGAGGTGAGAATATTCAATTCTGCTACAGAGGCCAAGAGAAGCCAGGAGGACAGGTAAAATTCATCTGCTGCATTAACTACAGATAGAGTAAGCAAGGAATTTGTGAGACATAAGCAGAATTCAGATGTGCCAAGAATAGGGAGCAAGTTTCTAATGGGCAAGACAAGCCAAAATAGGATAAATGGAATATATTATAAAAAGAATGGAAGAAAGATGAGTGTTACTTAGAGCTAGGAAGGGATAGGAAGATCTAGTCCTAAATCACACGGTCTAGAGCATACCACCCGAGGGCTGAGAGCCAGCTCATCCCTACATTGCCTACCTATTGGTGATGCCATTCCAGCCCCTGTATGCTCTGCCCCAGAAATGCTGACAAATGGGATGGCTGCCCAGAACACTGGCCTGTGGCCAAGCCTACTTGCAACTCCCAATAGGGTTAATATAAACCCATGTGTACGCTGGTTCCAAGCATCTTCCACCTACTGATCCCTTTCTTAACCTCAGTTCCTATTCTCATAACCACACTATCAGAGCACAAAAGATTCAGATAATTTGGTCTTTCCACCTTGCTTGTACCCTATACCCTATACAAAGTGGGATAACTATGCCAACTCTTACCTCTTGGTTCTAGCTGTATGTTTAAAGTAGATTCAATAACATATGTCATTTGATCATCAAAATTTGGTCGGAGCCATCGTGGTCTGATTCCCCTGGAACCAATGTCCCACAGGACCCTGGGGCTGGGAAGGTGCATAGCATATTTTCCATCCCCTCGTCAGCTGGTTTCCAGTTACATTCGGCTAAAAGGAGGCACTGGAGAGACTAGAAAGCAGGAAGAGGAAAGAAGAGACACGTTAGACTTCAAGTGCTCATTGTCTCCCTCTAGCGTCTGAACACCTCCACCACCAAGGACGCACACTGCCAAACTGGGTTCCAAACCCTGAGAGCTTTCAAAGATCCAAAACAAGTTTGCAAATGGAAAAAAAAAAGAAAAAGAGTTGGTTCCAAAATATAAAACTGCAAAGTCAAAATGAGCAAAAGTTTTATTAAAAGTCTACAGAAGGTAAACTTAGCCAATTCTGTAAACTGCAATTAAACTCTTTTAACAGTTTTATGTACATATAATGAAGTTTGAATCACAATCACCAAATGAAGAACATATTTTAAAACTCAAAAAATTTTTAAATCATTTTTTTGACATCAAAGAAGTTATATTTAACAGGAGATGAGGGTCTCTTTTAAATGGATTGATCTGACGTGTGTGTTTTGTGGCTGGGGTGTGGAGGTGTTCGGTGTTAAGAGTGGTCATGACCTAAAGGTCTATGAGGGGCCTGACAAAGCCTCCCACTCCATATATTTCTGCTGTACCCTCCACTACATGCAGTGGAGCCAACATCGTTTTCTAGCAACAGCAGAGACATGAAGAGCAGCCAGTTGTCACCTAGTGTCATAGTGCTGGTGCCATCCATACCCTTACAGGCCAGAGAGGGGCAGCTCTGGTTTCTCAGAGCAAGGAATTTGTCAGCCTTCCACCCCCCTACTATTCTTTTCCCTCCCTGAAGTCTGGGATCCACTTTGTATCTAGTATGTCTTTTTTCTGTACCAGGGCTTTTTAAGCATTAGTTAAGATCATGGAGAACGCCTGATAGAAGTGCAGAACCCCGGGACTTAACCTTGGAGAGGCTCTGCTCCATAGGATCCTTCTCCCTCTTCTCTGCACCCAAAGCTAGTTAAGAAATTCTGGAGACAAGTTCTTCCTTGTTTCCGGTGGTCCAGCTAGGGGACGCGAAGGGCATTTGGAGCAACCAGAAGAGATTACTGAGAATGAAGGAAGGGCCTAGTGGGCCCAGCTGGTTTTCACGTTTAGCAAGGATTGCAACCCCACTTCTTGTTTACCACCTTTCATTGGGTATGAAGCCAACCCAGCTCCTGGAGCTGAGAGAGCAGAGGACGGGGAGGAAGAAGGGGGGGCTAACTCCTTGTCTGTGTTAATTGGGAGTCCCAAGGACAAAGGCCTGATTAAAAAATGTATTTTGCAGGCCTTTTTGTTCCCAGCTGCTGGCCTGTAAGATCACAGTGTGGTCAGATCTGAATCACTATGTGCACTTTAAAACAGTCCTATCATACCACGGTGTTCTTTCAGATTTGCATCTTAAGCCTTTGGTTTCATCATATGATGAAAGGCTTTGTTTCCTATTTAAAGGAAAGTTAGGCAACAACCTCAGAATAGGGAGTTTTGGGGTTTGTCTTTAGACCTGGTCACCCTTCCCTTGTACAAACCAAATGCATAGCAGGTGAAAGGATCATAAAAATCTACTTTCATAATTCTAGGGGATCTGCAGGGCAGTAAATCAGAAAGGATCAGAGGAGGGAGTAGTGGGGGGTGCTATGTGGCGCAGACATCACAGAAGAAACTGGACTGGGAGTCAGCAATCCTGCGATTCCACGAAGGATGTCAGAGCATGTTCTCCGAGACGGCGCCTTACTCCCTCACTGGTGCCGTCATCTGCTCCCCAATCCCATCTCCACCTCCCCAATCCAATCTGTGATTAGGTTGACGCCCCGGCAGAGTTTCTGCAGCTCAGTTTACCCACATCCAGAACAAGGGGTTCTAGGATCAGTCAGGTAGTAGAGGGAGCAGTCGGAGGAAGTCTTTTTTCTCATGGGAAGTGAGATGAAGTCCCAGAGACTCAGACCCACAGCTGGAGGGGGGAAAGCCTGGAGAGAAGGTATCCCAATGCTAGGGCAGTCCTTCGTCTTTATGATGATGGGGAGGGGAACAAACTGTGTGGTTAAATGGGGACTGTCGCAGGGAAGACTCTCTGAACTAATACTAACAGATCTTGCAGGAAAAAAAAGTGTGAAGAAAAATCGACAAGGATGGTTTGAAGGGGTAAAATGAATAATGACGGTCATTCACGTGTCCTGCTCGCTCTTTATGCTTCGTTACCTGCAGCAGATTCTCTGGTACGAATCGAAGGTCATTAAATGCATCAGATGGGGACAGGTGGTAAGTTTTACCAGATTAGCAAAATGCTCACACTTGTAAAGTCACGTCCTCACAGATTCCTCCTGCAAGCCTGTTCTTGGCTTAAAACTTAAAAATAACGAAAAACAGAAAGGAAAGGAAAGGGGGAAAAAAATTAAGAGGAGACTGGCCCCTGCCCCAGCCACCAGCAAGGCTGTCACAAAGGGCTAAAATTGAAGTGGAGGTCCAATACTCGCAAAAGTAAGACGGGGCCTCCCCAAAAAGTTGAACAAGTAGTGCAGGGCCTGCACATACCTCCAGCTTTTCTGGCCTCGACGGCAGCCACCCCAGCCTCCCTGCTAACGT